CAGCTTTCGGAGCAGATTATGGGGATGCCTCAGGCGAGGCGCTGGTGTCAGCACTCCGAAGGGGGAGCCGCCAGGGGGTATATCACTCCCCCGTTCGCGCCGTCGCTCTCGCCCCCGTCGTCTACGCGGATTCGCCGTCGCACACAGATGGTCACAAACGCAGTTCCCCAGCGAGACTTGCCAGGAGTATGATATTCACATATGGGGAGCTCCGCGTCGAGTAATTCTACAACGAGATGCTCTTCGCATGGCAACCGGAACTGAGAGAACGTAGCCATGCAATCAATGCAAACATAATTGGTGCCCTCTGGCCGCAACGCCGACCCACGTCCTGAGACTTCTCAGATATCTGATCCTCTTTTCGCCCCATCAGGGCCCAGGGGGCGCTCCCTGGGCAGTCCAGCGAGGCCACGCCGGCCCGTGCCGTCGGCAAGGCGGGCCCCGCTCCTCAGTTTCGGGCATTTCGAGGGAAGCGTCCTGGCAAGTATGTTCGGAAGCCCGAAGGACGCGTCCCGGCATGTACCTTGGGGCCCGCTGGGGAAGCGTCCTGGCAAGTGCCTTCGGGCAACCAGAGGAAGCGTCCTGGCAATCTTTTTCCTGCGCCCAGAGGACGCTTCCTGGCAGTTGCCTCGGGGCGCGCCGGGGAAGCGTCCTTAGGGGAACAAAAAGTGTCATAAACATAAAGACTCGGAGGTCCGCGCGGATTTCTCGGATCGGCGCTGGACCCCCCTCCCTGGACCCCCCTTCTGCTTCAATGCTGGCCAGGCGCTCTCTGATGCACGCTGCATGGAGCTCGTGAGTCATTGTCGTTTGGTGCAGAAGAAACAAAAAAAACCTGGCGCGCGGAGCGCGCCAGGGGCGGCGCCGGAGGCGCCGCCGGGGGGGCCCAGCGCCGATCCGAGAAATCCGCGCGGACCTCCGAGATTTCATGTTTATGTCACTTTTTGTTCCCCTAGTCCTGGCAGGTACCTTCGGATGCCCACAGGAGACGTCCTGGCAAGTGCTTTCAGAACTGGGAGGAGCCGCCAGGAGCTGGCGAGGGTCGGGGAAGCGGAGAGGGAGGCCACGGGGCTAGGAGACGGGTTGAAGGGCTTATGGAGGAGTGGGGACAGGAGGGAGGGGACTGGGACGAGGAGGAGGAGGAGGAGGAGGAAGAGGAGGAGGAGGATGAGGAGGAGGAGGAGGATGGGGAGGATGAGGAGGATATGAATCAGGAGGAGGAGGAGGACGAGGAGGAGGAGGCGGAGGGGGAGGAGGCGGAGGCGGAGGAGGCGGAGGAGGAGGTGGAGGAGGAGGAGGAGGCGGAGGAGGACGAGGAGGAGGAGGAGGAGGATGAGGAGGTGGAGGAGGAGGAGGAGGACCAGTGTAAACCCAAGAGTCATCAACGATGTTGGAGTAAACCCTCCCTTCAGGCTCCCTCTTCATAGGCCCTTACAACGGTTCATTCCCATTGAGGGAACTGCCTCGTTGGAAGACAACCGTTTGAAGACCTTGAAGCATGCCAAAACATTGCTCTCGGGATTCCAACGCCTCGGGTCAACCTGACTGTTGCGTCTTGACGACCCTGAATCGTGCCAGAACGCCATTCCTAGGACTTCGACTTCAACACAGAGAATCAACGTAACTGTTGCGCCCGCATAATCCTGAACCCTTCCAAATCGCCATTTCTGGTACGTTGATGATGGAAACCCGTGAAACTCTTGCAAATGTTGAGAACGAATGTGCGCGGCGCTAATGCGAGAGCCACATTCTAAAAAGCAACCGCCCTCAATCCGTGAATCTCTTGCTACTTTTGAAACGAATGTGCGCCGCGCTCTGGCGAGAGCCTCATTTTGAAATCAACTCGCCCTTAATCCGTGAAACACTTGCAAGTTTTCGAAAATAATGTGCGCCGCGCTGAGGCGAGAGCCACATTTTGAAAACTACCCGCCCTCAATCTGTGAAACTCTGGCATTTTTTTGAACGAAGGTGCGCCGCGCTAAGGCGAGAGCCGCATTTTGAAAACCACCCGCCCTCAATCTATGAAGCTCTTGCAATTTTTTGAAACGAACGTGCGCCGCGCTAAGGCAAGAGCCACATTTTGAAAACGACCCGCCCTCAATCCGTGAAACTGCTGCCAGTTATTTAGCTTCAGAGTCATAAAGGATGAGGAAGTTGCAGGCGAAACGCCCAGCCCGCCCTAAAAATCAGGCCTCGGGGTACGACAGGGAGAAATTATTTTACAAGGAAAAGGAATGGAGGAGGAGGAGGAGGAGGAGAGGCAGGAGCAGGAGCAGGAGCAGGAGCAGGAGCAGGAAGAGTAAGTAGGTGGAGGAGGAGTGGCGGAGGTCAGGCTTACCTTGAATCTGAGAGATTTCTCCGTTTAGCCTTCAGCGATTGCTGAGGGCGGGGCAGCGTCAGCGTCAGGAGGAGGAGGAGGAGGAGGAGGAAAAGGAAAGGCGGAGGCGGATAGATGCGGAGGCGGAGGCTGAGGAGGACGAGCAGGAACAATCATAGTGATATTAGGGGTAGGATGACGAGGGTGAGGATGATGTCAGTTCGGGATGACGATCGTGAGGAGGGTAGTGGGGCAGGACCGACGAGAGAGCCTCTCAGGAGTGTGGAGGGATGATTCGGCCCCTCGGGCGGGGGAAGGGAGGAGGGGGAGGAGGCTGAGAGGGAGTGGAGGCTCATGATGAAGATGAGGAGGCTGAGGATGATAGGGATGATGAGGATGAGGAGGAGTCTGAGGATGACGATGGGAATGGAGGAGGGGTGTGAGGCTGACGATGATAAAGAGAAGGAGCAGGACGAGGAGTGGATAAGGAATCCCCATAGCTTGATTAGGCGTAGGTTTATCATGGTGCGGCTGGTGATGCTGATGATAAGTATGAACATAGTGACGATGCTGCTGATGTTGATGATGATGGTGCTGGCGGTGGTGTCGATGATAATCAGGATGTTGATGATGCTGACTCAGATGATGCTTTCGATGGACATGATGCTTACGATGAAGAAGGGGATGAGGATGATGATGTTGATACTGATGATGTTGGTGACGATGCCGATGATGATGGCGATGATACTTATGAGGTTTACGCTGATGATGATGCTGATGTTGCTGCTGCTGGTGATGATGATGATTGTGATATGGATGATGGTGATGATGATGATGCTGCTGATGATGATGATGGTTCTGACTATGAGCATGACGGTTGACTGTTTGATTGGTAGGTCGATTGGCGATGATGGTGATAGGTAGGATGATGATGCTGGTGATGATGATGCTGATGCTGATGATGATGCTGCTGATGACGATGACGATGATGATGCTGGAAATGATGCTGATGTTGATGCTGATGTTGTTGATGATGACGATGATGGTGATGTTGATGATGACGATGACGATAATAAGGATGATGCTGTGGATGATGATGATGATGATGATGCTGATGATGATGATGATGATGATGATGATGATGATGCTGATGATGATGATGATGATGATGATGATGATGATGATGCTGATGATGATGATGATGATGATGATGATGCTGATGATGATGATGATGATGAGGGGAGGGGGATACGGAGGAGGACGATGCTGATGCTGATGCTGATTATGATGGTGATGATGATGATGCTGATGTTGATGATGATGATGCTGATGCTGATATTTAGGATCTTGATGCTGCTGATGCTGATGCTGATGCTTCTGAAGATGCTTACGCGGATGCTGAAGCTGATGCTGGTGAAGATGATAAGTATGGTGATGACGCTGATTATGACGATGATGATGATGGCGATGCTGATAAGGATGATGACGGGGACACTGATGATGCTGATAGTTAGGATGATGAAGCTGATGATGATGCTGCTGCTGATGATGAGGAGGATGATGATGCTGGTGTTGATGCTGATGTTGATGTTGTTGATGATGATGGTGATGATGGTGATGTTGATGATGATGCTGATAAGGATGATAATGATGATGAGGAGGAGAAGGAGGAGGAGGACGATGCTGATGATGGTGGTGGTGATGATGATGACGACGATGATGCTGATGATGGGGATGATGATGATACTGATGATGATGCTGATGCTGATGCTCATGCTGTTGATGTTGAGGATGATGATGATGCTGCTGATGATGCTCATCCTCATGCTGCGGATGTTGAGGAGGATGATGCTCATGCTCATGCTGCTGATGATGCTGATGCGGATGGTGATGCTGATGATTATGATTCTGGTGATGATGATGATGATGATGATGATGATGGTGATGATGATGATGATGATGATGATGATGATAAGTATGGTGCTGACGCTGATGATGATGATGATGATGATGACGATGCTGATAAGGATAATGTTGCTGCTGCTGCTGATGATGATGATGGTGGTAATGATTAGGATGATGAAGCTGATGATGATAATACTAATGATGCTGCTGATGAGGATGCTTATGATGGTGATGATGCTGATGATGATGCTGATGAGGATGCTGATGATCGTGCTGTTATCAATGATGGTGATGATGACGATGACGATGACGATGACGATGACGATGACGATGATGATGATGATCATGATGTTGATGATGGTGATGATGATGATGATGATGATGATGATGATGCTGATGATGATGATGATGATGATGATGATGATGATGATGATGATGATGATGATGATGCGGATTATGATCAGGGTGATGATCAGAGGGCCTCTCAGGAGGGCGGGGGGACGCGGGGGCCCTCGAGCGGTTGAGTGGAGGAGGGGCAGGAAGAGGGCGGGTGGGATGAGGAAGGTGGAGGGAGAAGTAGGAGGGCGAGGATGAAAGGGACGACGACGACGAAGACCATGACGATGGCGATGACATCCACGACATCGACGACGGCGGCGACGAAGACGGCGAAGACGACGAAGACGACGACGAAGATGAGGAGGAGGAGGAGGATGACGACCATGACGTCAACACGACGGCGACGACAGCGACGGAAGCGACTCAGTGGCTGCCCCAGGTACGGTCTTGACATCAGCCGGCACGAGCTCCCGGGTGTCTATGTTTGCACCATCGGCAAAAACAAGAGGCCCCAGGAGGAGGAGGAGGAGGAGGAGGAGGTTGAGGAACGGGATGAGGAGGGGGTGGGGGTGGGAGAAGAGGAAGGAGCAGGAGGAGGAGGAGGATGAGGAAGAAGAGGAGGAGGAGGAGGATATGAATCAGGAGAAGCATATTTTGACAAACCCTCTTGAGTATTGGGTACTCGTTTTGAATTCGCAGCGCCGCACTTTACCCCACCTCATCCCCCTCCTCATCCTCGTCATCATCAGCATCAGCATCATCACCATTCCGGCGCACCCTTCACACGTATCGAGGACCCGTATGCGGGCGCAGCCATTGTGCCCGCATGGTGCCCCGCTACATTTTCGCACACCCCTCACACGTTTCGTGGCCCCATCGGAAGCTCCCATTGAAGCGTTCAGGGGTACTGCACGCAGCTCACGGTATTCTCGGGTATTGAGCGGTCCTGCTCATAGTCGCCTCGTTTTGAGAAAAGGGTCGGGTTCTTCGCCAGGCTACTTTTCGGTGGGTGGATGGGTCATGGGGGATCGGACGAGTGTGTGGGAGCCTGGGTACTTTCGGGAGTCTGGGAGTGCTCGGAGGAGTTCTTGGACCGCCCAAGACGGCCTCAGAAGGGCCCCTAAGAGGGGCCCAGGGGGGGAATCCGAATTCATTCACATTTTGAAGCCTCCGCTCCAAGAGGACCCTGAAGACCGCCAGGAGCTCCCAAGGACTCCTCAACAGCCCAAGAGGTCCGAACGAGGCCCCGAACGGCGCCCCAAGAGGCTTCCAAACTGTCTCCAAGGGGCTGCCCGAAGGCTTCTCCAGAGGCCCGAGCAGGCACTCAAGAGGTCTAAGACCAACAGGCACGGTGGCAGAATGGGCAGAACGCCCTTAGGAGTTGCACACGTGTGCGAGGGGCACGGTGGCTCTCCTCGCTGTCCTCGTGCTCTTCGTGTTTAAAGACTTCACTTCTCCTTTTGCTCCTGTCCCTCCTTGTTTGGCCCTGTTGGGCCATGGGCCAAAGACCACCAGGGTCACCCAGGGTACACTAAGCGCCCCTCCCCTCCCAGAGCCTCCCCTGGGCGTCCCCGGAGCTACGGTAGAGGTTCGGGACGTCTGAGATGCCTTCCAGACTGCTCCAGGAAGGTCCAGGATGGCCCCAAGACGTCCCAGGAGGCCCTCAAGACGCTCCAAGATGGCTCCGAGAGAACCCCGTCGAGGGCCCTGGGCGGCAACAATCGCCTCATTCCTTCGGGAAAACGGATATGTTTGCATCTGCGTTTTTGTTATCCCACCAGCGTCCCAGGCGGCTCCGAGAGGCCCCCAATAGCGCCCCAATGCCGTCGAGGAGGCCCCCAAGAGGGTCCCAGGAAACCCTAGACAGAAGATGGCCCAAGAGGCGCCCAAGACGGCCCAAAGCGCTTCCAAGAGCCCCAAAAGCGCTTCCAAGACGGTACCAAAAGAGGCTCCCCAAGCGCCCTTTCGATCGCCCTCGGCCCCAACGTGCCCTCCAGAGCATCCCAGCGGTCCCCAAGAAGCCCCCAGAGTCTCCCAAGAAGTTTCCAAGAAGCTCCCAAGACGCCCTCAATGGACACCCAAGTGGCCCTCGCGAGTCCGCCGAGCGGCCCCCGTAGAGACTACAAGGTATTTGTTGCACGCCTCAAATCGAAGACACCTCCATTCCAGAAGGTATACAAACACTCTCCCCCTCATTCCTCCTCATCCTCTTCCCCCTTCTCCTGCTCCCGTCCTCCTCGTCTCTCATCCTTACGCCTTCCACCCCTCAACACCCTGTTCTCTCTTTGACTTCGCATCCTGTCTCTCTTTCATGCGCCCTCCTCCTTCATGTCCATGTTGTTTTCGCCTTCTTGCCTATATCCAGCCTATCCCATACTCCTTGTGTGTACCTTCCTCTGTTTTCTCCTTTCTCCCGCTTCGTCCCTCTCTTGCCTCCTGCCATCTACCTCGTGCGTTCACCCTCCTGCCCCATCCATTCTCCTTCCCGCCTCGGTCGTCATCCCTCCTTCCTCCGCCCTGCCCCTCCCCGTCCCCCTCCCTTTCACTTTGCATCCCTCTGTCCTCCCTCTACTTACCCTCCTCCATCTTTCTTTTACGTCCGCCTACTCCCTCCACCG